GGGCTGAGGGACCAGCTGCAGAATTGGATCTGCAAGTGCCGGGGGAGGGGGGAGGGGGGAGGGGGAGGGGATGTCAGGTGTCATAGCCACAGAGGTGTGGAGAGTGGGAGGACTGCCATTAAATGCCTATTTCTTTTCTATTTAAAACAAAATAGCCATGATTTTGTGATGTGAATGGACCCTTTCTTTAATAGAAGGATAATTACAAAACTAAAACATCCTCTCATACAAATAAAAACTGAGTTGTCTTTAACTCTCCAATGCTGTGGACTTTATCAAAATTGTAAATTTCTCTTCAGTCTACTTGTGTGTATAATATTTAAGTTACATTCATAAAGGAATGCTATCTAAATGCAAATGATAATTTTAAAAATTTCAAATTTAAAGAATTTTCTGTTTCTGAGCCATTCCAACGACTCATTCTTTAGAACAGCAATTTGCAACCTTTTTCACCTCATGGCACACACACTAATTCTTAAAATTCTGCTACACACCATGAAATAGAATTTCCACCAATCTGACAAGAAAAATTGGTATAATTTTGGTTCATTCACACTGGGCGGCTCGATGTGTTGGCCGTTGTCATTTTCGTATCTGACTAAGGGAAAGGAGGTCAGTGCTCTGACTGCATAGTCAGGTACTGCGTGTTTGAAAAGTTCCTGCAAATCGCTGCCCTAGATCACAGAGCAGCCTGCAGCGTAGACTGACCCACTGATTAAATGCATCTGCTGCCGGCTTCATACAAACCGCCTGTGGTAGCGCCTGGAGCAGAGCAGGCATGCACCGTGGGAAAGCCGTCCGTAGCGCCATTGCTAAGGCAAACGCTGCTACTAAACAGGTATTGAAAGGCCTGCACCTGCTGTCAATGTCACGGCCAGACCTCCCCCCCCCCCAGCTTTTATGTAATAATCACATGTAGCTAGAACCGAGCACTGAGGTAAAGTTCATAAAAAACAAATGGCTCAGGTAATAGGAAAACACAGCGAGCCCAGGAGACAGCAAGAGACCTGAGGACATTGCAGCGTGGAAGGTGAGAGAGAGCCTTAAAGATGAGCTGTAGATAGACACCTGTTAGTTATTTCCATCATGTCCTTTACCTGAAGTCAAAGAGTGCCAGGAAGGCTGGGCGGGCAGTGAGGGGACGAGTGGGAAACCGGCATGAGAAGCTTGCCCTCGGGAGGCCTGTGAGGGGAGCTGGGGTGAACAGGCTGCCCTCTGCGGTGAGAGGTCCAGGTCTCCGGGTTTGGGAGGACATTGCTCCTACAAATAATGTGACAGCAGGGACTGGGGCCTCCTGTGGTCCTCTGCTGCCATCCCTCCTGTGACGCTGGGCGGGGGGGCGGGGGGGGGGGAACCACACCGCCAGGGAAGCTGTAGCTGTGCCTGATCTGTGATGGCAGCTCTGCCCCCCTCCCTTTTCAGACTAAGCTAAAGCAGTAAGTGACCCAGTACTCAAACTGGAGGCCACACCAAAGCTCCACACCAGCTGCTGGATGTAGCTGAAGTGACGCAGTAAATGACAAACCCTAAGGCGGCAGAGAGGAGGTGACCCCAGCTCCTTTCCCTCCCCAGGGCCTCATGGACCTGCAGCTCTTTCCAGGAGAAGAGGGGCTTCTTAGCATCACCTTCCTGACAGCCACAGTTTATCAAGGAGCCTCCTGTGTGCCAAGCCCTGCGTGAGCCGTTGCATGTCATCTGCCAGGTAGACGGCAGGGGACAGCACTCATCCCAGAGCCCATGGCTCAGCCCAGGGCAGGAGACAGGCTTCAGACCGGAAAACATGACCCTGAGCTGTAGCCAGTGCCGAGAAGGGAGAGGAGGTTGTGAAGCGCGCGTGTAGCCAACTGCGGGGTCAGGGAGGCCTGGAGGTGTGGGAGCGGCTTCAGTGTTTGGACAGGTTCAAGCCTCGGACTAATGAGAGAGCACAGTCCTCTCGTGACAAAGCCACGTGCAAGTCCCAGCCTGGAGGGCAGAGCCCTCCCAGCACAATTATAGCCAAAGGCTGTGGTTGTAAGCTGAACCTATGGTCCGAACCTGTGGTCCCATATGGCTGAGTAATGTGGGCTCCATAGAGCTCAGGTGCATGTAATTGAGTAGAATTGAAACCCACGGGAACGTTGTAAACATCTTGACCACGCCCTTACTTTGCCTCGTGGAATCTGGCTATAAAATAAAGACTCGGCTTGTAGTCTGTGGCTCTGTCGCTAGCTCTTCATTAGAGAGGACAGCATCCCACCCAGACCCAGCTTTCTTCTCTCGTCTGTCTTTTCTCCATCCTTCACCGCCCCTCTCAAGCTCACCGAACCTGGCTGAGCTGGCGCGGCACATATGGCGCCCAGTGTGGGGCTGAGTATGCTATGGCCGTGCCAGCTCGGCACATGGAAGGAATGCCGTGGAGCTGCTTCAGTGACAAGAAAGAGAGCAGATGACCAAGGTGGCTGGAAACCCCCTTGTCACACTGTAGGTCTGCCGGGGGCGGGCTTCCTAGTGGCGGTGCAGGGCCTGGGTCTCCTCTCTGCCCCGCTGCCCATGGTTTCCGTTCCCTTTTAAGCCCGGGTCCTTTTATGGTTACACGGTGCACCCATAAGAAACAGAAACGTATTTCTCCCTCACGTCGAGCTGGTTGTATCTGGGATAACCTGTACTCTGGTGGCAGGGAAAGAGATCCAGCCCTGAGACTAGGCCCTACCTCTGTCTAACCGAGCCACGGTGGCAGAGAGCCTGCCAGCTGTCCGCCAGCACACTGCGCTGGGTTTCTAGCAGAGCAGGCAGCCACCTGGAGTGAAGATGGCATTGCTCAGCTGTCCCACACCTGGTGTGGCCCTGTGACTGGGCTTGAGCAATGGCACATCCATGGAAGTGACCGGTGTCATTTCTGATCTCGATCCTTACAGGGAGGGGCCTGGCTCCGTGTCCCTCCTTCCTCCGGCTGCTGGAATGTGAATACGATGGCTGGGTGTCTACGGCCTCCCAGGGATGACGACTCAGCCACCTGGACGGCCAGCAGTGATGATGCATGTAAGGCGTGATGCTGGCAATGACGACAAGGTAAGGTGAGGTGCTATCGTACATCTTGCTGTTGTTATCACTGTCATCCTCACACCTTGATGGGCCACCAGAGGAATTTATTACTTCATGTTACTTCGCATCGGCTCAGTTCCCAGGTGAGCTGTGTCCTCGCTGGCGAGGCTGGTCTGGCACCTGTAGGCTGGCGCGTCTGTCCTAACTTCCCTGCTGAGTAAGAGCATCTTTCCCAGGCCTCCCGCAGAAGTCCAGGGGTAGGAGGCATTGCCTCGTTGTCCTTTTCTGGAGCCAGGAGGTCAGGTACATAGACTGAGGATGGATGAGAGATGATCCTCTAAAAAAAGCGCTGGATTAAAAAAGAAAAAAAAAAAAAGGATGTCCCTGTCATTGATACAGCATCTGGAACAGTGTTGGCACCTGGGAAATACTAGCAAGGTGTTCATTTTCAAATGGACTCTGTTTTTGAAACTTTCAAATATGTCGAACTCCAGCTTTCAGACACCTTTCCCGGGGCTGCACGTGGGTGACTGAGACCAGCTGGACCGAAGGCGGGTTCGAGTGAGGGCGGGCCATAGTCTGTGGTCTGTAACGTGCCTCAGGTCATAGGATGGAACCTGTGCTGAGTGTGGGAGAAAGCTCGTCACTTTCCCCCCAACAAGCCTGGATGTCATCCGAGTAAATGACCCCTCGGTGCTATTTGTTTTCTTACTGATTATCATAATGCTGGAGGCAGTTACTCTCTCGCTCCGTTATATTGGAAGTGTGGCTAGATGCCAGAAGCAAGAATGTGCCCCCAGGTGGTCCGGTCAAGCAGAACGGAATCGTTCTCACCCCGGCTGCCATTGCAGAGAATAACTGTTACGATGATGACAGTCGCCATGGGCGTGTATTCTTCATCCATAAGGAAGGACACCTGACAGGACCGGGGCATCCGCACCTGTGCTCGGCTGGGAGCACGTTGTCTGGGAGCGGGCATCACAGCGCTCACGCCCATAACGGGAGCCACGACCAGGCGCCCCACTTGGCCTTTGCCAAGCGTCTGCTGTCTGTTTCCCTGAGCACAGCTTCTGAGTCAGTGAGGTTAAGCTAATTAAACAGCATCTATAGCCTCTGCTGAATGGAATAAGGCAAATTCGGCTGTTAATTCCCTGCAAGGGTTTCAAGTTACAGTGCAAATGTTTCTGTTTTTATTTCAAATCCCTACGCAGCCCAAGCATGGGAGACTCCAGGGTGTTCTAACCAGCCGAGAGCCTCATCTGCCTCTCTGTTTTCCTCATGATATTTTACAAAATAAGAAAGAAGGAGGGTTATAATAGCACAGCAGTGAGCTCTTACCCTTCAAAAACAACCTGCATAATGTTTCCCTTTTCATTTCATCAGCTGTCACTGACCTTCAGCAGCACCAGCGAACAGCCCTTAGAGTGCAGGGCCTGCATTTAAGTCCCCCTCAAGCCCCTGTCGGGGGCTGGGCGGATGGCTGCCACTGCACGGAACATTAGCAACCTCGCTGTTCCAAGTATAGGCCTGTAGTTCTGAGGGCTGTTTTTTTTTTTTTTTTTAAATAATAGGAATAAAAATGTCAATTAGAGCCTTTAGATTTCTACCAGAAAATAAGGGATCATATTGTAAAAAAAAAAAATAAAATAAAAGGAAGTGGTCATTTCAATGGAGTGACTATATTTCCTCTACATAAAAATACTTATGCTAGCCCTGGTCCCATGCACCAAAAAGTTGCTGGTTCAATTCCCAGTCAGGGGACATGCCCAGGTTGTGGGCTTGATCTCCAGTGGGTAGGAGGCAGCTTATCAATGTTCCTCTCTCTCATTGATGTCTCTCTCTCTCTCTCTCTCTCTCTCTCTCTCTAAAAGTCAGTAAAATTATTTTAAAAAATACGCTAAGATTTATCAACTGGAAAGCACTAGAAACAGGCAATGTTTATCATGTCCCATTGACATTTTCAATCTAATGACTTGGATCTACTGTAGCTAAGGCAAAACAGGTGCGCCCTGTAATCTCTGGAAACGAGATGCTCTCTTCTGTGAGAATTTAAAGACTAATATGGCCACATTTGAGAGTCATTATCCTATTCCACATCCGAATGACATGAAATTATGTCGCTGAAGCACACACACAAAAATGCCAATTTACATAGGATAGTCACCTGGGATGCTAAAGGGAGGTGGGCAAGAGCTGTGGACGGAGAATGGTTGGGAGTCTCAGGGGGACCTCAGAACCCCCTCTGACACCCATGTGGTGGAGAGGAGCAGAGCTGATACTTGGAAAGGCGACAGGAAGAGGAAGCCAAGGAACCTTTTTCATTTGGGAGTCACTTTTAGGATCACCCTTCACTGCTCTTATGGTTGCCGTGTTACCAGACGGGGTCTGGGCCTGGAGCCGGTCTGTCTGGGGCTGGCCAGTAGTGTGTGAGTTCTTGGCATCATGCAGGAAAGATTTCACAGCACACGTTTTTGAGAGTATGGTTATTAAAGCTGGGGACAGTGAACCGAAGGAAGGGCTTAAGGTAGAAGAAGCAACAGGAGAGAGAAAGAGAAAAAGGGGGCCTTGGAGACAGGTTCAGGGGGTGAGCCCGGGATGCGCTGCTGCTGCCAGCTGCTCCCCAGGTTGCAAGTCTAGGGGGGACCCTTCGAGTTTAGGAAAAAGAGAGCAGAGATACGAGGCGTGGGCGTGCTCTAGGGAGAGCACACGTGGTTCCTTTGTCTTGAGACTTTTTGTCTTCCTTTGACTGGTGGGGAGCTTAGAGGAGGTCTCAGGGCAGAGACGTACCAGAATAGTCATTGGCTTCCTAGATGTGTTCTTCAGGATGCCGGTTCATCAAAATGTGCATATAGAGGGGCCAGGGGTTATTTTCCTGTTAGCTTCATTTTTAAAGGATGTCATCAAAAAAGTCAGTAAAGGTATACTAATTAGGCCTTTCTGCCCTAGCTGATCTGCAATGTGCAAGCTATCTGCCCTCAGTGTCCTGGTTAGGGAAGACCAAACCTTGTGATTCATTAGCTGGCTGTAAATTGTGCGAACTGTGTGGCCTTGTTTAATTACTTTTTTCTGTTTCCCTTATTCCATTTGTCAGGGAATTTTCCTAGCTTCTTACTATCCTGCCTCACCCACTCCATTATCTTATTAGAATACTTAGCTGGAAGTTACCCGGGAACTACTCTGACCAGATCTCATATTCTATTTTTCATCCTCATTCTTCTTCTTCTTAATCAATTGATCGTGGTTTGAACTCTCATTGTTTCTAATGTACTAACTCTCGACCACCCTCTGTCTCCTTCCTGTCTGTTGTTTCTATGGGAGTCACTCACCAACTCTTAGCTTTAAAGAATCCAAAAGTATTAGCCCAGTCACGGCACATCCCCTTTCCTTTTTGTCTATTTCTGGAGCACAAACAGGATTCCATCTCACGGAATCATCACTTATAGCCTGCCCTACGAATTTAGGCACTCATTTAGGTACCCGATTAAATACAGTCTCAGACTGGTCCCTCAGTGTGTGTGTGTGTGTGTATGTTTGTGTGTGTGTGTGAGAGAGAGAGAGAGAGAGAGAGAGAGAGAGAGAGGGAGAGAGAAAGGGGGGGATCTGGGTGGCTCTCTTATTCTCGATGCATGTGCTCCTTCAGATTGTAAGTGCTTACAAGTAGAGAGGATGAGCAGTGACTTGAGCGTGTATTTTAGAGCCAGAACTGTGTTCCAATAGTGCAATTGCTCATAGGAACTTTGTAGGTCACTAAAGCTGTCTAAAGCCAAATTCTTCATCTTTAAAATTAGACAATGATACTCACCCCTCTAGACAGAGCTAGCAAGTAAGATTTATGTGAAATGAGCAGCATACAGGAGACTCAGCAATGATTTCTCCCTGTGCTTGTAACCTCCCTCACGTCACCCATTCCAGTAACACAATTGTTTAGCTCAATTTTGGTTTGATTGATTGACTGATTGACTAATAGGCAGATTAGAACAGTTGGGATAGTCTGGCTAATCAACCAAATCCCTCCACCATGTCCTCTCAATAATGTAAATTATGAAAGTTTTATCTCAATAAATCACTTAAATTACTAACCAATATTTTATTTTTAAGAAAATGCTAATGTCGAGAAGATAGGGGCACCATATGTTTAGGGTGACTCTGACATACTAATAAAGTTATTTGGGAAGGTCTAGAATGTGAAAAATACAGCATCTAGTTTATATTTGACTAGAGGCCCGGTGCATGAAAATTCATGCACTGGAATGGGGGTCTCTCAGCCCGGCCTGCCCCCTCTCACAGTCCGGGAGCCCTCAGGGGCGGGAGGTGACCTGGGCATCAGGGGAAGGTGATGCCCCATCACACCTCTACTGCTGGCAGCGCTGGCAGTGTAAGCCTCGACTGGCCCTGGTTACCTGAGCCTGGGGGGCTGGGAAGCCGCCATCTGGGAACCCGCCATCAGAGGCTTGCCTGTGCCTCGGGCTGACCCTGGGCGACTGGGCAGCCCCATCTGAAGCTTGCCTGCACCTCAGGCCGGCCCTGGGCAGCTGGAGAGCTGAGGGGACTGGGGGTCTCCGAAGGCAGGCACACGGAGTGGCCGGGCCCATGGGCCAGCCTTGCTGCGCGCCTGCCACCCCGGTGTGGCTGAGGGAACTGGGTGCCGCCATCTTTGAGGGTGTGGCAGTCAATTAGCATATTCCCTCCTTATCGGTTGTGGGCGCCGCCATATTTGAAGGCGTGACAGTCAATTAGCATATTCCCTCCTTATTGGCTGTGGGTGCCGCCATCTTTGCGATGGTGTGAGGGTGAATTAGCATATTCCCTCTTTATTAGATAGGATAAATTTGCTTACTGTCATTTTATTTGGTTTTCATTTTTATTAATTAACTAGAGGCCTGGTGCATGAAATTCGTGCACGGGGGGCAGGGTCCCACAGCCCAGCCTGCAATGACGCCAGCGTCCCTTGCCCAAAGCCACCGGCCCAAGGCCCCTCCCCTCCCTCCGCACAGCCAGGGCACAGATGCTGGGCTCACATCATTGCGAGCCCAGCATCCCTCACCCCGGCCTCTGGCCGGAGGTCCCTCTCCTCCCCTCCCTCATGCGACCGGGGTGCGGATGCTGGGCTTGTGTTGCCGAGGCGACGCCACCAGCGTCCCACCCCAGCCACTATGGGTGCCGTCATCTTTGTCGCGGAGTGACGGTTAATTTACATATTACTCTTTTATTAGATGGGATAGAATTAGAGATGGTAAAAGTTGTTGAAGGAGCATGTAAAACACAGAAAATACAGGCATCTTGACCTCATACCCTAAATATCATGGTCTTTTTTTCCTAATAGTAAAGCTATGGGGATTTAAAAGTGATGCCAAATGCCAGCAGCGTATTGAAGTAAAAGTGTCCCTCAGCCCCAAAGAATCCCGGCCCCCGATGAGCTGATGTGGGGACAGTTATAATAGCACTTCTGGTAAAGAGGAAGGAGTGAAACCCTAGACGTGACCGAGGCGGGATTTGTTGGTAATCCTGGGGCGCCTCAGTGGAAGTCAGCGCAGTGACTCAGAGCCTGTGACGGGCCAGCTGTCCCAGCCCCGGGCGCCCCGCGTGTGGTCCCCATTACCACACCCCAGGGAAGCCTGGGGTGACGGCCACACAGCTGCTTCCCTGGCAAGACCTCATCCCTGAGGCAAGGGGAGCATTTTGTGACTTTATCTTCAGTGCTTTGAAGTCAGTGGCACTGGGTCCAGTGAATGGCCACTGTCACCTCCTCCGGGGGGGCCTCTCTGACTCCTCTGCACCAGGGCGAGGCTGCTCCTCTAGGTGCGCCCACCACACCCTGTCCCCACCTGGACGTGTCTGATGTCTGTCTCCTTCTCTGGACCATGAGATCCTTGTGGCAAGGATATTATATTTTTCTATGTCTCCCCAGCATTCAGCAAAATGACACATAGTAGG